TAAGAATAAAATATTTATTTTATATTTGTATTTGTAACACCTAAAACTTGTAAAATTTTAATTATAATAAATTTATATTTATATTCAGTATTTTCTTTTAAATCTTTGTTAAAAACTGTTTTGTCATAAATTATATTTATGGCATTTTTTATTTAATATGTTATATTGATTATGCTAAATAATATTATCCGTTATATTAATATTATATAAACTGGCGATGACAAAAATTTAACAGATGGCTTAAAAAAGTTTTACTTTTATAATATATTGTGAATGGTCTGGTTTTAAAAACGCAGAACTACTTGTTTTTAACAAGTATTTGCCTTTTATCTTTTTTAGGATTGGTACAAGTCATTTATTTATTTTCCGGCTGACTACGGATTAGGTTTGCCTCTATAACTTTTCGGTATTGAAGACATTCATTTCAAATTATAGGACGGTAAAATTTATGAAAATTAAATATGTTTTACAATTTATCCATTTCATTTAAACAAACATACCTGTTTTTATTCAGTTCTGGAAGTTTCAGAAACAATTAAATTAAAACTTGGTTACTAAAATTTAAAATGAATGTTATTCTAAATAGCAGAAAAGTTACAAGATTAAGTCAAAAACAACTCTAGGCAACTGACTAAAAATACTTATTATGTTGGGAACGATGCTAAAAAATATTAAACAATAAATAATTTTTAACACCATGTACCTCGAAATAGCCTTGATAAAGTTATTATGGAATCGCACTTGTTGCTGTTAGAGGTTTTCTGGTTGGGGTAAAAATATGCTGAAGATGCATCGATGTAGCAGTCGCAATCGCGCTCGCGGTCAATCATTTATACCAAAAGAAAATAATGTGTCCTTATGGAACTATACGCGCTTGTGACATCTTCGATATATGCTGAAGAACACATTATTTTCTTTTGATATAAATTATTGACCGCGACTCCGATTGCGACCGCTACATCGATGCATCTCCAGCATATTTTTTTACCCTAACCAGAACACATCTAACAGCAACATACTTTTTATTATTCTGCAACATTATGTACGTAGCACGTAACAGTAAGTAGAAGTATGTGGCACCAGTACTGTCCATATAATTCATAATTAAATTCAAGGGTATACCCATATATGCATCAAATTGTCAGTATGGATCATAATTACCGTCAGCATAATTAACACTATTTTACGTACGCTACATACTTATCATATAATTGTACAGGCATTGCAGACTTGTGAAACACATAAATTTAAGTATATTTCAATTTTACTCTACGAATCCTGCAACATTACTTTACGTAGGTTACGTACTGTATATTGTAGTTACATAAGTACTATTTTATATTTCACATACAAATTTTAGTATATTTCACTATTAATATACGAATCTCGAAACATTACAGAGCTCATAATAGTATATTAATTCAGTACGTATTATATAGTTACTGTAATGATATTGCAACATTATAGCAACATCATTACAGGTCATTATGTAACATACGTATGTACTTTAAGTTCGATTTTCTACAAATTTACGTATGTAAAACTTGTAATTCAGTACCTTCCAACAAAAAATTTTTTTGCGTGTGTATCCACTTCAAATGATATATTATAAATGTGTATTTTAATATTTTAATAACATTGAAAAAGTGATATGGCTGTTAATTTTGGCGCTGCAATACACAGTTTGTTTTTTATGATAAATAATTCAGAATTTCGATATTGAAAAAATGATTTTATATTTACTCCCACTGTGTATTACATTGCATTAAATGTTTTTTTTGTTACCAATTAAAATAAACTTAAGACGAGGGATAAAAGGAATGGAACAAACCGTATAGGAGGTTTAAAAGAAAAATGGTTATTGCAAATTTGTCCTTTATTTAAACCTTTTCCTTTTTTTGTTATAAAAAACTGCTGATACATTTAAAATATATTTTTAATATCCCCCTTTCCCATCTATTCTTTTTTGTTATAAATACGAGTTTCTGACCCATATGAATTCTTGACTTGGCAGTGTGTAGGGAAGGTCAAAATATCCCTTTATAGTTTTTCAATTAAAATTCTTTCTTAAGTGTCTCGTAGCAGAGATACTCGGCCCCGAAGAGTACCCATATATCCATTAAATTTTTTGGCTTTGAACCATCTTGAATAATTTAATGAAATTTGAATACGAGTATGTTGTGTCCTTGAGTCCTCATGGTCCACCCAAAGTTCATTAAATTATACAAGGCGCTCCAAAAGTTAAAGCCAAAAAATTTAATCGATATGGGTATCTATATCCCTTCGAGGCTGTATACAGATATATCTCCGTTAGAAGGCACTTTCAAAAGATTTTTTATGACAAAGGAGGGTTATTTTGACCTCTCCTATGCACTTCCGAACGTATGCCCGTAGGTACTTACCGGTCACCCTGTATACTAGGGTGCTTTTTTTTCGACTATCTTTTTTTTCGTTCCCTACCAAAAATTTTGTTGGAAATGTCCAAAAAAATTCCTAAAATTTTGTTTCAAGTCGGACTTCACTGTGCGCGATGTTGCCATATGCTAATTTCAATTTCCTTAAGTGTATTGTTATTTATTAAAAAGTAACAAAATTAACTAAATCAGGAAATCTATAAATACAACAAGATTATTTTGGAAATATTAACTCTTGCATTATTATGAAGGATTTAAAACAAATTAAATTAATTAAATTGTTGTCTGATATTAAAGTCAATCTGACAACTATGGATGATTCTCTCTCCGCCTGTTTCACCGTGAAACTTTCACGTGCCCTCTTTGTCTTCTAGTTTACTATCCTACTCGTGAACCTTATCTAGTTAAGCGTATACAGACTGTATCTTTTTAGCCAACGACATATCTTTAGAAACTTTGGTGAAAATCAAATTAATTAATTCCTTTTGATGTTGGTACAAATTAAAAATATTTATACCTTACTAATGCGTCTATGTATGTACATATGTATGTATAAAAACATATTTATACCTTACTTATACGTCTATAAAAACATATGTTCCGTTTTTATAGGCGCAACATTCGCAGTTGATTTAGAAACGTACGAGTGAGAAATAATTGCTGCAACCGTAGAAGAAAAAATTGAAATGATTCTGATTTTCGGAGAATGTAGGCGGAATATTGACGATGCTGTTGCCTTATATGCTGAGCGTTTTCCAGATAATATTCGTTCACGTTCTTTTTTATAAAGTTGTTCAATCCTTTAAATCCGACGGTAGTGAACAACTTAAAAAAAGAAAACGAAGAAAAACTGTCACAGGAGAAGCTAATGAAATTAATGTGATAGCAGCCGTTCAACATAACCCTCATGTAAGCACTCGGGAAATACATCGGGATCTCGGGATTTCCAGAGATAGTATTCGGAGAATATTGAATCGTCACAAGTATCTCCCATACCGGGTTTCACTGCATCAGGAACATCATGGCAATGATTTTCATCGGCGAGTAGAATTTTGTGAATGGGCAGTTCAGCAAATACAAAGAAAACCCAATTTCTTCGCTAAGGTACTATTTTCAGATGAGTCCACATTCACAAACCATGGTTACGTTAATCGGCATAACATGCACTATTGGAATGTGGACAATCCCCATTGGTTACGACAAGTTGAACATCAACGTCCCTGGTCGGTTAACGTTTGGTGTGGAATTTTAGGTAACAAACTCATTGGTCCTTATTTCATTGATGGAACCTTAAATGGAATCAAATATCGAAATTTCCTGGAACATAAACTGGCCCGGTTAATTGGCCTGCTAGGTCACCTGATTTGACATCGCTGGATTTTTTCTGTGGGGTCATCTAAAAGATAAGGTTTTTCAACAAGCACCAACAACTCGGGAAAACATGATACAGCGCATAAGAAACGCTTGTGCTGAAATTCCCGCAGATATGCTCCTCTCCTGTGTTAAATCATTCGAAAAAAGAATAAATAAGTGTCTAGAAGTTCAAGGTCATAATTTTGAACATTTAATCTAATTTATTAAACAGCGAGAGGCAGGGGGACTCTCGTAAAACTAGCACCCAGATTGGAACAAAAAACTACTGCGTCCTGGTCCTTGTTCTTGAGTAACGTTAAAAATAGATGTTAACTTAAACTTAAATTAAACAAGTGTTTTTTCCTTTTTCGATCCGATGTGTAATTTTTCAAGATATTCCCAAAAATCGGGTTTTAGCGCCATCTATCAGGAATTAAAGAAAAAGGATTTCTATAAAAGTTACTTATTTTTTAATGGGAAATCCGAATCTGCAATAAAAAATGGGGGTTCCTATTTAGAATTTTAAAGTTGCCCCCACCCCCAACCCAGGGGGTGGTGGTGAGGGGTCGACTTTGGTATCATTGGAAGCCCCCTTCCAGGCGAACAAATTTTATTCAAAACTTTTTTTGATCCGATGCGTAGTTTTCGAAATATTTCAATGTCTTCAGATAAATCGGCCACCCTGTATACACAGGGTGTTTCCTAAGTAATCTAAAGGAAACACCCTGCATTTATGTATTTCAAATGGGTGCACTTTCAGTTACATTTTTTTTTACAGATTGAAGTTGTATCCTGAAAAGGAGCTTGCGCTTTTATGGAACTGGAATTTATTCTTCAAAAAAAAATTTTATTTTACGAAAAACCGAAATTCAACATACAAAGGATCCCGTGTTGGAAGATTTAATTGCCAAATTAAATAATCAAGACCTGAACGAGGGTAAATATATTAATGTATAATTTTATTTTTGTGTTAGTTTTCATTCCTAAAATGCTTATTAAATATGTATATGTTTCTTTTAAATTCCAAAGTAACTTTGCAAATAGCTTCTATACCCCGAATTTTTCCTCCGAAAGGGCGTTCCAAAGTGGGTAAGGATCACTGGAAATTTACCACCAGCGAATCAGTTAAGGGAATAATTGTCCATGCTTTAGTAAGTTCACATTATGGTATAGAATAGTTTTACATAGTTTGTTTTTTACAATATTGGTAAAAATGGCTTTATTTCTTTTCAGACACCAGGTGATATCGAACGACAAATAAATAATACACTGGAAAAAGCATTAAGGCGAAAAATCTGCAGGGAAGTGCAACCATACATTTAACTCGAAGGGCCACAACTCTCAGACATAAGAAATACCTATATTATTATAGATAAGGTACATTTTCACATAGTTAGTACTCTTAAAGGATTGCATACTTTACTTAAATGCTTCTTTGCACTAAATATAAAGTATCCAATACAAAGTGAATATATTTGGTACGCGTTTCAAAAATTTTTTTGTGATATTCCAGTACCTGAAAATAAAACTTCTGGAAACATAATTGACCTGTAAAAAGTTGATTTAAATTAAAACTTAAATAAAAACAATGATATGCTCACTTTGTCATAAAACATTTTCTAACAGGGATCTTAACAAATTTGTTATTCATTTGGAATATGCACATTGTATGAAACATCAGTATGATTGTCCAATTTGTAAGAGAACTTTTAATAGAAGGGATAATTTTAAAACTCACTTAAAGACGCATCATAGTACAACAGATACAAATAAGCAAAACCTTGACATAAAAAATGTAGAAGTCATATCTGATCAAGTACATGATAGTGTGGTAAAAGGTGATGTAAAAGAGAGCAATTGTTTTTTTGATGTCGATTTAAAGACAAGGGAGTTAATGGTTATTTTAAAACAAAGTACTCTAAAGCTTATGGCTAGTTTACATAATGAGATCTCTATTCCACGCTCATTCATACAAAAAGTTGTTATAATTTTTAAGTAATTTTTAAATTCTGGTTTTATGGATATAATAAAAGATTTTTTATTTTTTTTCAAATAAATTTGATCGATTATTTTTTATCTTGTTTTGATACATTGGATTCTGAATATAAAAGACTTAAAGTTTTTGAACAGAGCAATTATTATATAGAGCCTCAGTTAAAAATAATTGGCTCTTCAGCTGATGCTTCTAGACGGAATAACGAGACATCCACGGTAATAAAGCATAGAACATGTATGTTTGTTCCTGTATCGGAAACATTAAAACAGTTTGAGTATTGAGAAACACACCAATGATACTTACATTTCAAAAACTATTAATAAAAACGACCTTATTTATAACAATATTTTAAATGGTAGTCTTTGGAAAGAGGTTTTACAGCAAAGTCAAGGAAAATTGTATGTGCCTCTAATAATTTACTTTGACGATTTAGAAACATCAAATCCACTAGGAAGCCACGCAGGTGTTTATAAGGTTGGAGCAGTTTATTTTACTGTCGCATCTTTTCCACCAGAATATTCAAGCAGACTAGAAAATATATTTATTACAATGATATTTCACAGTGCAGAAAGAACTCAATTTGGTAACCAAAATATGTTTCATTGTTTGCTTCAAGACTTAACCCTAGATCACTCGCGTCCTGGTCTTTTTGACCGACCTCTTGGATTTTTCTACATAGTATTCGAAACGCGCATGTCTGGATTTTATGGTTCCGTGACAATTCCTAATAAACTTTTTTCTTTTTCTTTTTGTTTTATTAAAAAATAATATTTTTTCACGCTTTAAAAGTTTTATATTGTTATTATATTATTATAATAAACAATAAAAAAATATCATAACTCTTTATATTTTTTTAAACTGCAAAAATCGTGAATCGGTCGAAAAGACCGGGGCGCGAGTGATAACGTTGGCTTAGGTGCGCGAGTGATCTAGGGTTAAAAAAAACTGGGTTCCGAGGGTCTTGTTATCAATAATATCAAACTTTATTTTAATGTTGTTTTAATACTAGGGGATAACCTAGGATTAATTCAATCTCGGGATTTGTCGAGAGCTTTTCAGCTAACTATTTTTGTAGATTTTGTATAAGTCATAAAAAAGTTACTCAGAAACAAACGGAACTTGATAATGTAAATCTTCGTTTAAAACATACATACGAAAATCACGCTACAAATAATCAATTTGGTATTAAAGAGTATTGTATTTGAAATAAATTAGATTATTTTCATGTTTACCACAACCATTCCGAGATCTTATGCACGATTTATATGGGGGATTTATATGGGGGAATATGGTATGGCTCGGATAATAAAGTTGTTATTGGAACAAAATGTGTTTTCCCTGGAAGTATTAAATTCCCGTATTCATTATTTTAAATACGAATATTTAGAACGTAATCATCCACCATCTCTTAAAAGAGAACAAATTGAAAAAGAAGTAATAATTTTTTCTTCCTCCGAGATGGAGATTTTTGTAACAAATTTTCGATATTACGTTGGTGATCTTGTCCCTAATCATAATAATTCCTGGATGCTTTATTTAAATGTGTTAGAAATTACAGAAACTTTATCCATGTCAACAATAAGTTCATCAGACATAGCAGCATTAGAGAATCTTATACCAAAGTATCTTAAAAATCTGTTAAATCTATTTCCAAATTATAATTTAAAACCTAAATATCACCATTTACTTTATTATCCTGATATATATATCATATATATATGAAAAATCAAATCTTGAGAAATATACATTTTTATATGAAGTTAGTTTTGATCATCACAAAGATTTACGAAATAAAATGGTATAAGGTTTAATATAGGTGACGTAGTAATGTCTAATGAGGGTCTCCTACATTACTATCATGATAGTAATGGAGGAGACCTTCATTAGATTAGATTAGATCAGGCATATACTTATTGATCATACAACGAATGTTTGTCATTTTATTTGTGAAAAATTAAACGTAGATAAGTCAAACTTTCATTATAGATCTACATAGTGAAATCAACTAACACGTACACTATTTTAAAACTCGATGAAATTAATTCCCGTCCCATAGTTACTCACTACTTTCATAATTTGAACTTAGTTAAAATTTTAAGTCTTTAAAGTCCATGTCTGACGGTGCAACTTCTCGCGGCGACTTTGTTGCTGCGACTAGGTCGCCGCGATTTTTTGGTGGTCATGACCACCAAAAAATCGCACACGAAGCAACTAATCAGCTGATCTAACCTGTCCTAAAATAGAACATGTTCTATTTTCATGCAACAAAATCGCCGCGACTTGGTAACTTTTTTAGGGATTTACGAATTTTCACTAAATTTTTTGGTTGGTACTCAATATTAATCAGCTGTGGAATGACAGATGTGATTTGCGTTTGCTTTAATCTGAGTGTTTTTATTTATTTACAAATTGTGATAATGCACCAAATAGGCTCTCAGGGATTTTCGTGGGATAGGGAATCCACTAAAATATTAATTCTAGGTTACGAGACAAACCCGAATCTGTACCTCACAAATGATCCGGGTTATAAATTAAAAAATAAAAGAGCAGATGCTCTTAATAATATTAAATCCATTTTATTCGATAATGGCTATGATATCAAAACTGAGGATATTAATAAAAAAATTCACAATATGAGGACCCAATTTTTCAAGGAGCATTTAAAAGTGAAAAAGCAGGTTGTGAGTGGAGCTGGCACAACCGATTTATATGTACCGAAGGCTTGGTGGTATGACCTGCTTAAATTTTTGATAAATTCTGATCCTGTCATAAAATCCAGATCAAATTTACCTGCTCAACCTGGAAGCAGTAAGATGGACAGTCAGCTATAGCTTATAAGCCCTGATTCACTAAGCAGCCCAACAATGGATGAGCTTGAAGAGGGAGTATATGTGCCACATATTACAAAAACTCCAAAAAGACAAAAAAAATCTGCTTCAATTTTGGAAGAACAAACAAAAGCTTTGTTTAAGGATGCTTCAAATGCATTAAATAAAATTTCAAAAAATAAAACAGAAACAAACGAGTTTAAAGCTTTTTCTGAGTATGTTTTTAACAACAAAATATAATTCTTTATTTATATAGCAAATTTTTATTTTCAGAATGATTGCTGACGAGATAAAAAAAAAGGCAATGAAGAAGAAATTCGAAGTGTAAAAAGACAAATTTTAAATTGTGTTCTGGATGCCCAAGAGCGAGTTCAGAGATCACAGAGACTGATTAGATAGGAAAAATTAATATATTTATAGAAAAATATGGGTTTATTTTTGTTTTAGAGAATATTTTCTAAAATATGTATATAGTATGTGTATATTTGTTTCTTATTTGTTTTTTTATTCTAGTTTTATATAACAACCAAATATAAAAGAATATATTTTTATTTTTGTGTTACTCGGAGAATATATAAAATATACACATAATGTGTCAAATAGTATTTCAGAGAATATTCTCTGGAACAAAATTAAACAAATACCTACCTGTACATTCCCAATATATTATATATATCTATAGAAAATGTTTTTTTATTATTTTAATAAATCGGATTTAATAGTGTTATTTTTCAACAAAACCTATTTGAAAGGATACAAAAGTGCTCTAAACTTATTTTTTAGTATTGCTATATTTAAATAAAAAAAATATTTTAATCCAAATTTATATTTTCAACAAACTTAAAATAAACTTAAACAAATATAGGATAAGAACAAATAAAACTAAATTTTCTAATATAAAAAACTGCAAACATAAAATAATTTTCTTAATGTTATTGTAAATAAAATAATGGTCACTTTTAAGCAATATTATTTTGCCAGTCGACAGCACCTTCTTTATTTAAAAAATTCATAAATTCATTTCTTACATTAATATTATATACATTTAAAAAATTAAATATCTTTTAACACAATTAAAAATATAATATTTAAGACTTTTGGGTTTACACTTTTTTATTTTCAAAATATCTGAAACCACGTTGTAAGGTACCTAATCCAGATTTATGTTACTGTTACTTATTGTGATCTTAATTGAGATTGACAATAGAATTTATAACCTTGTTAATACAATAATAAACAAATTTAAGACATTTAGAATAGTTTCATTATTTAATACATTTTTCTAAATTACTTAAATAGATCAATAAATTAATGGGTTTTAACTCAATAATAAGCTTTTATCCATTTTATAGTGCATTACGTTTCAAGCACACAGCAAAAGTGGTCTATTCCGTTTAAATATTTGATTTTCTCAACGCCATCTATTTAATTCAAACATTTCATATATTTGAGGCAACACAACTTGTTTAAACTAAGAAAGTCAATGCTTTTAAAATAAGAGAATATTTTACTTGATTATTTTACTTATTTTAAGAACGTATTCTTAAAAGGAGAACGGTTAAGTAGGTATTTAAAAAAAAAACGGTTGGTATAAGAATAGCATTGTTCTTTCAAGAATGAGTTTTCTTAACGTGCACCGAACTAAAACAAACAAAAACGAACTGCATTCTCGGACGCGTTGGAATAGAGACGTAGTTACAGCCATAGAGTAGGTTTTTAAATGGTGGCAGCCGTTTTTACCGTTTTCTTTGCTACATACATAATAACAATCACACCAGGTGTAATAACAATAAGTGTATTTGTGCGTGACTTTAATGATGGAAGAATTAGAAGAACTCCTAGTAAAATGGGACTGTGAAAACCTTATTGCGAAATTTCAGGGTATGTATATATACGTGCAATTTCTGGCTTAGTTGACCAAAGCAATCTCCATAAAATTTTCTTTTAAATTGTCGATTCGATATGGTTAGTATAATTTTTTTTAAATTAAACGTTTAGAAACTCCTTTTAAGCTAGATTTATTTAGTTGACATTGGGCATACAAGCGCATTAATTAACTTTGTGTAATGGTCCTGATTGTAAAGCAGTGGAGTGTTTTTTTCTTACTTATGATCAATAGGGTAATTATATTTTATTATTTTAGAACAAAACATAAATAAAGAAAACATTGTCAAGCTAAACAACACACTAGTAATACCAAATATTTGGGACCGGATTAGATTTCAGAAAAAATTGGACATATACAAGGCAGACCTCGCCAGTGATGTAAGTTTACTTTTCTGAGGGCCGGTTTATCAATGTCCAGTTAAGTGTCTTAACTGGTAAATAAAATTAAAGTGGTAGCTAAACTGTTTATCAATATACAACTAACGTTTACTAAGAACTTAAATTAAGATAACTGGAAGTAAATTTAACTGCAAGCTACAAGTGTCAGATACTGAATTAACTAGCAGTTATCGCGATTTATAGGTTATATTTGTGTTTGTGAAGTGTGTTTTTGAAATGAATATGGGAGATTTTTTGGATAGTGACGACGATGAAGAAATTGTTGAGTTTGTGGAACACGAAAGAAGACCGTATAAAGTTTTAGACCGGGAAGAACATTTTCAAAATTTTGACGATGTAGATTTTTTTATGCGATATCGGCTGCAGAAACAAACTGTTTTAAATATTGTGGAAATAATAGAGGAGGAAATAGAAACTTTTACGGATAGGTAGGTACACTCTTAAACCAAATCACTCAGAAGGAGTGAAAAAACACTCATAAAGAATGGTTTTTCACTCCTTTGCCACGTAAAAAGTTTTTTACTCTTAAGGAGCGAAAAAAAGGGTAAATACCCATTTACTCATTAAAGAGTGAAATTTATTGATTTTTTTTTGAGTGATTTAAATTTAAATTTTTTAAAATAAGAATATTAAAACCCTTTTATGATTGATTTTAATTTTACTCCTTTTTGTGTATTTTTTATTTCATTCTTTCAAAATTAATTTATTTTTACTCTTTTATGAAGGTTGTAAATTTACTATTTTTTGCATGTTTTAATTATACTCTTTTTATATAGTTTTAGGTTAACTCTTTTTGTATGTATTTTACTTCACTCTTTTTATAATTATTTTAAATTAACTCCTATTTAGTTTTTTTCAGTTCACCCTTTTTTTGTTGTTTTGACTTTAATTTCTTTTATGTGATTTTAACTTACCTACTTTTATTATCTTGACGTTTACTCTTTTTAAGTATTTTTGATTTCACTCGTTTTTGTACTTACTATAAACTTTTCTATTAGGTATTTTGACTTTTAATCTTTTTTTGTGCAAACCTAATTAATTAGGCAATAAAGTATTTTCCCATTTTATTTTATTTCTCTCGTGATAAAAAGTAGATCCTCGAAAAAATAACATTGAAAAAAAATTTGGTATTTTATTTACAGGGTGTTCAAAAATTAGGAAAACATGAAATCGATTTAAAAGAGAAGTAGTAGGTACCTAGGAAAGCTTTCTTTTTAATTTGTTTAAAAATTTTTGTAAGAAAAAACTGTTTGTAATTAAAAACGAAGTCTGAATACAAAAATTATGACGGAAATTATTAAGTTGATTTTTCTACGATCGAGTTTATTTATATTTTTATTTTTGAGTCATTTCTGTTAAAAAATAACATCCACTTAGTAAAATTTGGGATCTTTGCTTTGGTTAAAACTTGGGAAACAAAATCTATTCAAGACATTTTAAATCCCAAATTTAACTTTGTTAATGTTATTTTTTTGACAATAAAAATATTTATATTTATATAACTTGATTCTGGAAAAAACAAAGAAAAATTTAAAGTTACATTTTCCGTCGTAACAAATTTTTCTTATAAAAATTGTGATTTTTTAAATAAAGCTACTTCTTTCTTATATAAAACTTATATTTTGGTACTTTTAAATAATAAGGTTCTAAGGTTCTGTTAATATACAATATAAATATTGCAGATAAGGCATTTTTGCTTAACAAGGCAGCTGCACTTAAATCCTTGTCATTCTAAGGTACCGATTTTCATAATGTTTGAACACCCTGTATATAAAATCAAAAAAAAAATATCAATCTTATTTTTCCCACGAGCAAATCTTTTTATTTGGAATGACTTTTCATAAAAAAAAACAATAAGAAAAAACGTTCCGTATTATAAACTCAATCCGGGGACCTACTTTATACAGTATACATATATACATATACATATTGTAATATAAAACGTCAGAATAAAAATAAACAAAGGTAAAAATTAAGTAATATAATATACCTACCTATAGGCTGTAACGGATAAATGATTGGGGTTATAAAAACAAAAAGAAAATTATAATATATATAAGTATCTATTTAATTAATAAATAACATTAACAAAAATAAATTTTTCTTTACATGACAAAAATAAAATAATACTTATTTTTAAACTAAATTAATAATAAATTATTAAATTAATTAATTAATTATTATAACAAAAATAAATTTTTCTTTAAATTTAAATAATTATAAAATATAAAACAAATTAATTAATTATTTAAAGCAGCAAATAAGCTTACTGCTGAGCTATTTATTAATAATGACGAATTTTTAAATATAAAGTAATCAAAAAAATTGAAATTTTTTTAAAACAGGATTGTATTCTAAGTATAAAACATAATGTGCTTTATAAAGTACATTAAATGCTTTATTGATATCCCCAATTGGTATTCTGTCAATGCAAACATAAAATGTTCCCCATATTGGATGATGTATGGCTCCGGCTGCATTTTTCCCTTTGCCCTAATAAAGGACAAACAATAAAACTTATCTTTTGTCCTTAATTAATACGTTAAATATAATATAATATTACACAACTATTATAAATCGTTAAATATTACCCCAATTTGTTTGGTAACTATACACTGAGAGAAAGAAATAATTAAATTAATTAATATTTTAATTCATTTAAATAAGAATTTTAATACCATATGGGACAATTAAACCGTTTAATACATTTAGGAATA